CTTGAATCCCACAGATACTAAACTTTCAGATCCCTAATAAATACCTGGTGTCTGCTCTGCAAGTTTGTATGTATAATTTAACCGAAACTTTGTCGGTATTTGAGAGTGGAAACATCCAGCCCCATCGTTTCGACGCCGTAGTGTATCTGCCCCCGAGGATCTTTCCCTCTCGCGAAGCTTTTCCAAATTATTAGCGACAGACGATCCGCGCCGCGCCGTTCGTTTCCCAAAATTCCTGTAATTGCATGGGGTGTGGGTGGGGTTGCGCCCAGTCAGGTAGCCGGGTGCTGTACACGGATCCGAGTTGGAAATGTTTGCAGGAAGCGCCTCGTAACTTGGAATCAGATCGAAAGTTACGAATCTCGAGGCTTGCCTCTGTCTTTAACTACCGACCCTCCATCCCCGAAAGTCGGCGCGTTTCCAAGCCACCCCCCTGGCGGCTGCGCGCCCCATCCGCAGTTTTCGCTAGGCGGATAGCTGTTGAGGGGAGGGGGGCTGAAAATAGCACCACGGAAAACGAAACCTCGTCCATCCTCGACCGTTCTTGGCATCGCCGAACCACCAACCTTGCGCACCACTCCCTCGACCCCGTTACGTAATTACGCATTTCACTAATTACAGACGCGGGAAATTGCACCGATTAATTATTTTCCACTAAACGTCGGCGAAAATCGCGAAGTGGGCGATACGCTGTGTCTGACAAACCACTCTTCGCATCCCTTCCTCGGGCAGGTCTTGAGAATATTTATGAAATAATTAAAACATGACCTACACACTGCATGGCATAACTATAAAATCACCCTAAAACTTGCAGTTCTTATGTTCTGTAGTTTAAATGCTAACGAACCAAGTATGCCATGTCTGAGATCGTGTTGAGAAATATAATGTTTCTCCGGCAAAGGATAGATTATATTCCCTAGAAAAAAAGTGATTTGTTTTTATTTAAAAGTTTCATGTGGTTTTATACATACGCCACGCGGTGTATATGTTCCTGTCCCTGAACTAGGGAAGTAGTGAATTACAAAGGAAAAAGGACCAACCTCGTTTCTATCAAAATCTCAGGCCTAAAGTGTAACCAACGATCGACGAAACACCACCACAACTCCCTTAACAATATCACTGTCGTATTTACCCGACGCTCGTAGGGCAGAGCAATCCGCACCACTGTTCAGGAATATCGTCCAATCGTTCTCCTTCGATCGACTGCAAATCGAGCCCCGATGTTCACGGAACAATGCTTCGAGATTCCGTTGCCCCCATAGCCCATTCTCCTAATCGTAGCCCATCACCCCTAGAAGCGTTGACAAGACAGCCATGAGGTCTACGCAAGACCTATCGCGTCCGGAATGACAGTGGCAACGGGCAGAGAAGCCCGTGTACATTGACTCGTGTGGAAGATCGGTCGGACGATATACACAGTCGGCCTACACCTGAGGCCAGTAGGGGCGATTGCTTCTCTGTGTGTGGCTGGTCGGCTTGGTTCGACTCCTTGGAGCCTGATAAATGTATGGATCCGAGGACCATGCGAGGGGGCGACAGATGCACGCGTAAATGGGAGACGTTCCCAATGGCAGCAGTGTAAGACACACATATGGTAGGCTGTAGATACCAGTGTCTGGGACCGATTAAACGTTTCGAGTAATTAGTAAGCTCACGCGATTCGCACGATGTGTCCTGTGCTCGAACTTCCGCGGGAATGTAGGTCTTATTACTCGATGGAAATTGTACGACTGTATAGTTTAAAGTTCGGTGAAACCTTTCACAACGGTAGGATTTAGTGTTATGTATACTGGCTGACATACCGCGTACTTGTTCTACTTGAAGTATGTATGAACGAACGTGCTATGACAAGAAGTTGGAGTAAATGTTGGTTGTTGTTCTTGACAACAGTTTAACCTACTGGTATTCCCCTCGTCTGAGGAATAAACAGATACTTCGATGAAATGTCTGTCTAGTTGCAATGTCTGACTAGGGAATGGTGTATACTACTTGCGGGCGCTGGAACTGTCTGGCGCAGTAGAATCGCCTCCTCACTGATCAGACGTGGCGCGATTGTGTAAACAACTTCTACAAATTTCACGTACTGTACTTTTAAATATATTACAGTACATTTTTTTTTTAAAATATATTATAGTCTACTTTTTTCACTAAGTTCGGAGCCTTCGCTTCGCACAGATTTCTCGCTGGCACGATTTCGTTCTTCTGAATAAATGGCTCATTCAAGAGCACCAAGCAAGACAGGAAAATCCGATGAATCACTCGTCTAGACCAATCGACGCTATCTCGTGTCGCGCCATTATTTCTGCGTGTAACTATAAAACTCTCTGAGCAAAAAATATAATATTAGGCGCGAATCTCGATTAATCCTTCGCCAGTTTCGTGTAAAAAAAATGCGTTGAAGGAAACTGTGCAAGCGAACGTTCTCGCGAGCAACGAGGCAACGCCGAATCGGCGCTTTTTAACGCCGCCGACGAGAAACGGAGGGATTTCGCGGTGTGTAGATGGTTCACGGGGGCGGACGGTGCAAGGAACACGTGACTCGTCCGCGCCCACCCCCCGAACCCATCCCCATATTTTCTATTTCCTCATTCCGGCGCGTATTTCCATGGTATCGGGGGGCGGAGAGGCGCGTGCCTGCCTGAAAATCAGAGGCAGCGTTTCGAGGCGGCCGTGGATTTTTGCGAGGAATAGGAAATTCACATATTTCAATGCGCCCCCAACACACACACACACACACACACACATATACGGGTATTCATGTGCTCGGAAAATAGAGATAAAATGCCTGAAAACACCGTCCGGCTCCCGATTCAAGCCGGCCGGTATGAATCTATTAATGTTTCCCGGTCCGGTTTATCTGTCACCGGGCCAGTTATTTACACGGGTCATCGTTTCGTACATGACGGGGCTGTTTTTGGTACGGGATATTTCGAAAAAGGACCACGTCGAAGCGTCCCGCCACTCGACACACCATCGACACGAGGACGCTTCGCCATTCGAGATTTCAACTCGGATTTGATCGATGGCGTTGCGCTCTCTCGCTTCTTTCGCAGAACGTTTCAATAACGAAACTTGTGCTTCGTACGAGATACGTGAGGAAACTGTCAGATGGGAATCTTTGGGAATGGAATATTATACAGCTTGTACGGGTTTTGATTGACCTAGTAGTTTTAGAGTATTTAGAATTACGTTATCGTCCTACACTACCCTTCATAAGTACTCGCCCTAATTTTTAATGCACTCGATGCTACTCGTTATTCCCTATATAAAATAGTAAGTCACTTATGGCGAATTAGTGCATTAAAAAATATAGGATTCCACTTAAGAAAACAAAGCTGATCTTCAGTGACAAAGCCAGAGGGCGAACGAAATTATAAGTAGGGAAAAACAAACAATTTGACCGGTGGCATGCGATACATATTCGTCGGCGCGCGCGGATCGCTTGTCGCAGAAAAACTACCTTTATACGCAGATCTCGTGAAATTTTCATGTGGGGAATATCGCGTCCCTCGGAAGTACATACGTCGCGATACCTGCCAGCCGTTCTTTTTCCATTAATTAAAACCGGCATAGCTACCGATCGCAAACACGGTGAAACTAAAATGAAATCAACTCCCCTTCCCCTCAACTGCTATATTTAATGTCGCGAAAAATCTGAAACTTTCCTATTGAACCGTATCGACACCGAGACAGGATTATGGATTGGTTGAATTTTAATTTAGTCTACCATCACGATACAATCTTTTACTTTCATCCCGAAAACTGCGTTTGAAAGCTGAAGGTCGTGGATGGAAAATGGGTTCCCGATATTTCACAAACATCGATTACTACTTTCCACGATTTAATACTTTCAAACTAGCATTACACAACCTCGAAACTATTAGTCGCTATTAAGCGCAATCTTCAATTACCCGAACAGAATGCCGTCCGGGCACGATCGAGTCCGATTTTCCCCAATGATCGTTCCAAGCTCGGAGAAAACTGGGGTGGTGGCCTCGTTCGAATCGAGAAGGATTCTCTTAATCCGGGAATCGAATTAATCGAACTGCCGGATTATCAGAAATAATAGCCGGCTCCCGGCGGCGCTGAAACCTTCATGGTCCTACAAGTTGTAAGGCTTGCAACTTTAATGGCGCCCGTTTCCGGGAACGATGGGATGGGCGACGAGAGAGGAGCAGTCTTCGAGCGGTGCGGCTTCCGAGTAGAGATGATCGAGAGAAAATTGGACGAACAGCAAAACTCGAGTGTACTCGTGGGATCGATTGATTTTGATGGATAAACGTGGTTTCTACCGTGTCCTGGGTCGAGTATATTCCCTGATTTTTAATTCTTTCAATGGTCCAGTGTTCACATTTCAGTGTTTATATAGGACGAAGTAAAAGCCTTTCATGGTACAACAAGTTTTTAATGTTTTATTTACTTATTTATTTCTAAACGGGTTATGAACCCTTTCGTACAACATACAAGTGTACAAGTAAAAAAAGTATTCTCGATTCAAATCTGTATTAGCTTTTTAACTATTTCCGGGAAACAGTCGCCCAAACGGTTGCACGAAAGCGAGCTACATCGGTGACCGCCGTGAACTTTTTTCATGCTTCGCGAGCTCGATTCAGAGCCGTCCTTGGCGAACGAGCAGCGGTAGAAAAAGTGCATCCAGATGGCCGTGGCGCGATGCAGTTCGGGACTGGAAAAAGCGGTAAAGAGTAACGTACCGACAGTAAATTTACATTAGGAGCACAGCGACGGGGACACAGGAAAGCTCTCTTCTGGCATCAAGCTGTTCGCGCTTCAACTGTATTGATTTACATAGCGATCTATCCTTCGAGCATCATAGATCGCAACGAGCGCCGTTTCGAAGACCTTACGTCCAACCCTCTCTGACCCCACGATGTCAGATTTGTAGGGCGAAGTTACCGTTCCGATGTTAGCCCGCAACTTTAAGAATACCGCGACGGGGCGGAACGGAAAACCCCCCGGAATCTCGTCGTGGAATGGGAAATATGAGGATCTACGCGGAAAATCTGCGGGAGTATCGGCAACTATGCGCAGTGTTGCTGAATAAAGGAAAAGTATTCGGGGGAAGTAAATTCCCAAACGAGACAGGCCATGCGTCCAACTTAAATCTTCGGCTTGTTCGCGCGGAAAGAAGCGAAATTTGTTTCGACGTTCGTTGTTCTTTGGAAGTGTGCTTCGAATCGTGGCGGAAATTCTCTCGGGATCTTGGTTTCTTACTTAACTTTCGAGCACGGACTGAAGTTTATTATTGTATCTTCTGAATCTTGCGTGGTATTTACAGTCTCTGGTATGTTATAGTATGTCGTCACTAGACAACAGAACTGGTTGTACGTCAGTCGTTCCTTTTACTTTAACGTTTACAAGGGAACATACGAAAAATATATTTTCCAAAAAATATATTTTCCCCGTTAGATCTACAATCTTGACAACCTAAGGCGTTTAACAATCATTATACGTAGATAGAGAACACTGAAGAAACAAGGCAGTAATTAAACTGTGGGAAACAATGGTAATTTTCGAACGATTCTGAGAAACATTTCCGACCCAATCCGTTAAAGCAAGAAGCTTTCAGAAACGGCTCGTTTTTAGAACAGAATTGGATCGTCGCAGGACGAGCCAGGAAGATCGCCGATCCTTTTTTCGAGCAATTCAAGCGCGCGCTCGGAGAAAAATAGAATGGTTTTTGTGGGGGCGCAGGTGTGACGCGTTTTAATAAAGTTGCCCGTTTAATTGTCAGACTTTTCTATCGCGTTTGCATCCCGCGAAAGGAACGCGCGCGGAATTGGCCAGATGCCAGGCTTGGCCTTCGGAACGAATTGTTGAGAAGAAAATTTAAGGGTCCCCCCACCCCAGTCGGAACTTGTAAATGAAATTTTTCGTCGACAAACGGATCGGGTGCCGGGGGCAAGCTCGTCGATTCCGTGTAATCTTTGGAGGGGGGTGGCGGGGGGGAAGGGTGTTCGATAAACGCCACGGAAAATCCCATTAAGCGCGGCCCCGTAAGTTACACAATGAGCTCTATCTCGCTCTTGCTCTCTTTCTCTCCTCTGAGGAATGAGGAAAGTTAATATATTGACATACGAGGTGTTTTTTTTTTTAAAAGCACGACAAACTCGAGCCGGTGGATGAAGAAACTTTAACGTGGAATAAGCTTGTCAAGGAAGTAATTAACTAATGTTCGCGGAAACGGGACCCCGCTAGTAAAAAGAGAAGGAAAAGTTGGAAAATCAATTTTAGCAGGAGGTTCGAACTTTCCCCGATGAAGTTTAAGGAAATCCACTTTCAAAGGGGGAGAATCCCATCCGCATACTGTGTGAACCTCCGTTTCCGAAAAATCGATTCCACGAATCCACACGGTTCGGCGATGTACAGATATTCTATTTCGAGTTGGCTAGAATAGGGATGTGAACGATATACAGTTACAAAGAACAGTTACAAAAAACAAATTTTACTGTTTAAATTACACTGTGATATTAATCTTATGTCAAAATTTTGTAGAGGTATTTAAATAATCCAACATGTTTGCAATGCTTCAACTACGAGTTATCTCGTAGGTGACAGTCAAAGGGTGTGCGAATACTTGTTTTACCCACTGCATAACCAAGAAATAAAAAACTTACGGAATATCGTCCAAATAAGAGGTCGAAGTAAGATCCACTTTCCTCTCCCGCCCGAAGAAGCGGGAAAATGAACACCGTTCGACAAACGTTTACCCTTTATTTACACCGCAATGGGTGCATGTAGTCCGGTAGTGGAAGGACCATCTTCGACAGATCCACGCGGTGTCGTTCCTCGTGAGTCACAAAAGGGGCCAGTCGGCAGCATCTGGCCTCGAAACATCTCCCGGAGGGTTCTTTCACGGCACCCGGCTCTGGCTACGACGTCCGATTTCAACGGGCGGCAATACGTCCCCCGAGGTGGGTTTATAGCAACGACGGAGTTCAGGGCTTCTCCCGGAGATCGAAGAAGACCCTGGCCATTGTTGCCGGTTAATTAAGGGAATTGATGAAAGATTAAGGGGGGTTCTTCGCCGTCGGCCGCTATTCGCTCGTTCGACATACATCCCCATTTCGTCTTCTCTGTGGAAGTGAGGCTGAACCTGGAGGACCCGATTGAACGCATTGTTCCCCCCCGGATATCGAGTTTCTCTGTGTACACTGACGACGGAAAGTTTCGGAAGTGCCGACAGCTTTCGATGATTTCACGTATTAACCCGTTTCTGTTGGTGCAATGGCAGCATTTCTTTCTTATTTTACGCTGGCAATTTTGACACGTGTACTTATGTTTACTCAGAATGTGGTTTTGGGTATCGTATTAAACCTTGATCTCTAGATCGCGGATGTTTATGCATTGATAACGTTCCTTAACACGGAAAATTCAAGCAAAAGAATTCAGAGTACAGAGACTTCAGTGTACCAATTCGATTACTGCAATTTTTTTGCCATAATGGTCCCTTTTTCATTATTTACGCTCAACCGCATTATTACTGTAAACTTTCCAACCGAAAAATACCATCTTACATCTACTCGTTACGAAACTTACCTCGTTAACTTTCAAAAGGCTTGCCCGATTAATAAAACCAACGGAAGTGCAGGAAGTATGTTGCACCAACTAGCAAACTAAGGATCGTGTACATGTCGTGGTTTGATATCTGGTTACTAGAACACAATAGAAAGTTCTGTCACATCGTGCCCACGAAATCAAAACCCTCGACGGAACATCGAGGAGTCTTCAGATCATGCAGGGAACAGCTTAGAACTTTCCACCGGTAGTGTATACATATAAAGGCATGAGACGACGACGGAGAACCGATTGAAAACTCGGTTCGAGGGATAAGAGCCATCCAGGACGGGCGATCTGATCCCAGGAAAAAAATTTCATCATCCTATCGTCGAACGCCGTGCGGATTCTCGTCGTCGTCCGGGTAATTAATTACGAGAGGCTTCCTCGAGCCCGCGGAAGATCAGGAAACGACGACGGGGGAGGGAGAAAAGTTTCCTCCGCGGAAGACGAACTGTGTTTCGTTCTCGTCCGCCCGGACCCGCCTTGATTTACTTTTTTGTTTTCTTTCTATCGGCAGCTGGGTTAATTGAGTCCGACGAATTAATCTTGTGTAGCCGACCCGGAGGGTAGCTCAGTTACGCTAGATCGAATTTGCGTCCGTTTTTTTTTATCTCGGAGAGGCGATAGGGAGGATCTCCAAGGGGTACGTTTGATTTTACAGTGATTTATAAACGGTTGAGGCAGACAGTTTGTTCAATGGAAAATTTAATTATTCTGTACATGGTATACAGAAATGAAAATTGGTTAACTCTTCGAGTATGGATTACATTTTCCAAATATTTCGACGTTTTTAAGGTTTACGATGTTCAGGAGATATTATATTGTTATTATTAATTCAGTGGTATCATCACGATCAACAGACGTGTGTGCAACCTCCACGATCACGGATCACTTCGATTAACCTTAACCCGCAATTTCAAACGACCACAACTTACACGCCGAAACTCCATTAAACCTGTTACTGCTCAGGACCTTCAACCGCGTCGATATATTTAAAATTTAACCGGATAGACTCTAGACCAATGGCCAGCGAAACATTAAAATTGTTTCCCTAACAAAATTATGTCGAAGCACCGTTACTCGGTCTGCACCAGGGCCGGTACATTATACCTCCTAATACAATAATGTAAAAAATAAAACTCCAAAACTAAATGTATAAATCTGTTCTTAAGCTCCTTGTCAGATGTTTAAAAAATGACCTTTCTAATAATGAGTATCTTCCGAGCCGCACATAAAAGCTTGGCAGGCCGCAGGTTGAGTATGGCTGTTCTAATAGCTACACGATTGTTCATTAGCCCTAACAGAGAACAAGGCAAACCAGACCAAGTTGCCCCTACCTCCAGAGTCAAAGTCGCGCGTGCGGTCCGCCCAAGGATCCCTACTTGCCGGCACTTAAGTCAAGGGAGAGGCCCCCCGCGTTAGGATGCTAAGTGGATTGCCGTGGAAACATTAAATTACCTGAAAGCTCCCGGTGGTCCAGCTAGCAATCGTCCGAAACCGCGCGACGGGTAACGCGGAACGAGGCCGGCCATTAACCGCAAGAGTCCTGTGTATTCAGGACGATAGCGGCGTTGCACCGGAGGTCCATTGGTTAACTGGGTTTGCAACTCCGCTTGTATTAGCCCCCACGATTAATCCTTCGCAACAATAACGACCGTCAATGGCCATCTACCTGTAATTAACCGACGAACGGCTGGGAACGTCGTGGCTGTCGTGGTCATTGTTTTCCGTTATTTTTCGCTGACGAGTATTTTCATCGAGGGTGGAAGAGGGGGGGGGGAGGGGGAACAGGGAATTGAAACGATTGTTTCCGCGACGATTGCACGCGGATAGGATAAAGAAACCGCGACCATTGAATAAATGAATATTGTACCATTAATTTCAATTGCGTTTCATAATTTATAACCGAGGGCACGTTAATTACGCCCACAGAAATGTAATAAGCGTTTCGTTTCATTGGGCCGTCGAATTATTCAACCTGTAATTTCATGGTTAATTGGATCTATGGAAACACGGGGATCGTGTCGTTCGACTACTTCGCAGGGAAATAACGGGCGGGTCCTCGTGGCCGTGTTGCCAATCTGAATCTTCGCTTTCAATAGGAATTCGATCGACGAATTGGAAATTAATGCAAATTCTCGTTTCAACCGGAACCGACGGTAATCGGCGACAAAAGAAAACGAATAACAAAGAATGTACCGTTCGGTCGTATGCCCTCGTCAAACAATGAATCGAAATGGAATGATGAGTTATTTGAATGGGTTTCACGAAACGGTTTTCCGGAAAATCTACACCGTTTAATGCTTCGGCTCTTTATCAGGAGTAGACAGCTCGAAGAAGATTTATTTTGAGCAGAAATCGTTTCAGCCAACTGTCCCGATTTCCACCGCGCTGTTCTTGGGCGTCTTGTAGATTTTTCCGGATAAGCTTTATGCCAACTGAAAGCTCTTTACACCTACTTTCGGTAACCAGCAGGGCTCCCGTTTATTTT